AGGCTCCGACTTTGGCAACGACGACCCTTCAAACCCAATCCACTACAGCCGAGACCCCCACAAGCTCATCACCTACCTTGTACCCTTCCCCAAGCCCTGGCTGGGCTCCAAAGCGCCCTCTGATGCCATCCCTACCCGCTTTCTCATCTACACGCCCCCACCTCCGCCTCTTCAGGCGCCGCCTGAGGGCGTGAAGGAGGGCGTAGCTCACAAGGTGCAGCGCAAGTGGCAGACGGAGGTGCGGCAGGCCAAGATGAGCGACGCAAAGACGACTAGCTGGGCGGGGTTCAAGGCAAAGTGTACGCGCGGGGTGGATAAGGCTATGCAGTACACCACCACGAGTAATTTGGATTACCTGGCGCGCGTTACGCCTCCGGCGAGGCCGCCGTCGGCGATATCGCGCAAGCTTTCGTTGAAGGGGAGGATGAAGAAGGACAAGAAGGACAAGGGCGCTTCGGGGGATGAGAAAGAGACAAAGAAGAGCCTTGACGAGAAGAAGCGTGAGAGCACCGATGTCAAGGACGACGACGCGGAGAATCTCCTTCACGATGAGGAGAAGAAGTCCTCCGAGGATAAGGATCTCGATGAGAGGACGAGGAACGAGAAGTTGGCCGAGGAGAAGGGTGATAGGGAAGAAGAGGATTACTTCAAGTCGCAGCAGCAGCAGGCCGACAAGGACGAGCAAGACGAGCTCATGGAAGACGACCCAGCTCATACGTCTCACGAGACGAAAAAGACGGTTGGCGTCGAGGAGATTGTCTTTGTCTACTCGCCGTCGATGAACATGACGCCCGAGGCGATGAGGGAGGAATTCGTCAACTCCATGCTGCGGACAAAGTCCAAGGCGCAGCGCGACGCCATCATCGCGACTGGGCTGCTTCCTGTTTCGCTGGCCATTGACTTGGTGATGATTGCCGTTTCTGGGCTTTTTGAAGTCAACGGTAAGTCTTGTTCACTTAAACATCCATGCCTATTGCGGTTTACTTACTGAATCATCACAGCTGTGTGGGCTTACTTCACCATCAAGGGCTCCAAGACGGCGCGCTCCGTCACCAAGCGCATCGCCTCCACGTCCAAGAAGCCCGAGTCCATCGACCCGGAAAAGTCAGAGGCCGAGCTGGCCAAGGAGGACAAGCTCCAGCTGAGCTTCAAGCCGGCGAACCGCATCGACGTGTTGACGCGATATCTGGAAGCCGAGTGTCACCGTGTCGACTCGAGACTGTTTCCCAGATACACGTCTTCGCCCACGGAAGTGTAAGTTCCTCATTCCCAACTCACCTGCCTCAGTTCATCGGAAAAAGTAAAGCTGACATAAAATCAGGGAATGTTTGGAAGCGATTGGCTGGTCCCCCGCCATGACGCGTGGTCAGAAGAACTGGGAAGATGAGGCTTGGGAGGTTAACGATGTCAAGGAGGATCTGAGGGTTGTGATGCACAAGGCCGCGAAGGAGTGGCGAAAGTGGTGTAATCGTTATGAGAAGAACCCGGAGAAGAGCTTGACTAAGTGAGAACATACTTCTGATTTAGAAGCGACACATGATTTGGAGCGAATACACATCATGTCTCTTTGTGTCATTTGATCTAAAGGAAAGAGTTGTTTGCCCTCCTGACAGTTCCTGCCGATGACATTAAAACACTCACGCCGTTGACAATGCCTCTACCCAGGCGCATCAAGCAGCATCACGGGCAGGCCTGCCAGTCTTGTTCCCACGAACCAGCTCTGGTCCGCCTTCAGAATCGACAAACTTGACCTCCAAAGTTCGCGCCTGGGAGGCGATACGAGCGCTATCACTCGCCTCCCTCAAGAAAGCCCTCGACTCCGCATCAAGGCCGTGGGCTAGCGTCGCCAAGGAGCTTCCCCTCCAAGCAGGGAGCCTGAGTCTTCGCGTCTCCAACATCGACAGCATACAGAAGATGCAACCGCCTATCAACGCACCAATAGGTAGTGATAAGAACGCCCAGTTCACTCTGATCTTGATTTCCCATACCTTCATTGTCCCCGGATACGGATCACTCTGTAGTGAACGATTTCGGATCCATTTTGTCAGACTCGCGGCAACCATTTCAAATGTCCTTGAGATGTTCTGTGAAGCTGCAAAGCTGGTGACAAGGTCCGTCGGCGTTTTGCCAGGACTTGTGCCCGCAGCCCAAGGATACACTAGTAGTTCCGTCTCATCTGGTACGTTTGATGCCGTGTCTTTCCGGCCTGTAAGTCCTACAGCGATCCATTCAATGAGGCTGCCAGCGGTGTTGTGTGAGATATTGAACCTCAAATCTTCTTCCAAGACCACACCAGTGTCTTTGAAGTACTCATCTCGAGAAATAAGGAGTTGCAGATCTGTGCGGGGCGAGTCCAAGATTCCGATATGAAGTGAATAGTTCATATAGGCGTTGAAAGCCTTGGTGAGAGTGAAGTTGTTCAAGTTTTCTCCAGTTAGGAAGGAGTCCAGGTTCCGGTTGGCCCGAGAACTGATGACCTTTTCATGCAGCACATTTTGTTCGACAACAGATTGATAGACATTGGTACAAAAGTAAAGCGCGCACTCGTTGGCCGTAACATCTTCGTCTTCCCAACGCTGCTTCTTTTGGCGATAGTCAGTGCTTGCTGACATTACAGAGAAAGAAAATATCATGGATTGGAGATGGCCAAACGTCAGTGTTCGTCCCGGGTTGTAGGTTGATCGTGCGGTAACTTCGGCGCTTCTGACTTCCTCGTCAATGTTAACTCCAACAGCTCTAAACCCATCGAAATTCGATATGCTTAGGTTTAGTTTCGGAATCTCGAATCTGGTGTAGTTATGAAGGAAGCTATCAGGAAAGTTCTTCCTGTCCGGTAGGGTAATGACTTCGTCCCTAAGATATGTTTTTCCTTTCGACTTGTTCATCGCGTGTGATATGTCGTTGCATGCGCTGCAGACCGCGACTGATGGGAACGGATCCCAAGTACAATTGCTTGTTGGACACTCAAAGGCTGGTTTTGTAGTTTCGGAGGAGCTGAGATCGGAGAAGCCTTCCCATACTGCTGCCATTGCACCAAAGTCACACTTGGACTTCATGGCTACCTGGCTGAAAAAGCCCCAGGGCTTTGGCATCTTGACGCTCGTTCGTCCAAAGCCATAGACTGAAAACTCTCCCGCGTCGAGTCTCTGGGTTCTTCCAATACCGTTTTTCATTTCTGAAGGGTTGACAGTGACGTCTTCTCCCGAAAAGGCGATGACAGCTTGTAGAAATGGTTCAAAGCCTACTAAGACGACCGCTGAAAGGGCGCCGAGAGCGATCCAATGCCTGCATGACTCTATTAGCCTATGATTTTGTTGTATCAATTCAAAAGACTATCGTACGAAAGTTTGGTCCACCAAAGCAGGCGGACACTTCCCCAGGGTCCCCGACTAGCCTCTTCGAAACGGTCAAAGACCATGACATTTTCGTCTCTTCTTCGGAACCAGTTCCACTTTCCCTGACTGATACAAGCGCTGATGGCGAATGCCAGGGAGGCCCGGGACGTAGCTCCGAGAGTCGAGATGAGGGCGTTGAACGATATCGAGAAGGTCCAGGATGATAAGGGCTTGTTCTCATAGAGGGGAAGAAGAACGAGGATTGCAGCGAAAGATATTATGCTAAGTACAATTGCCGAAAGTTCGAGCGACCAGTGGTATTCGCCGAAAGAGAGAAGGCGGGATCGGCCATCGATGACTCTTGGTTTCGCACAAGGCGGAGATGGCTCGAAATCTCTAGCTGGCTCTGTGTCGGTGATCAGACTATATCGAGGAGCCGGTTCATTGCGGTCTTGTCTGGATTCCGGGGTGGACACGCGGCTGGAGGGAGCAACTGCTTCTTGTGGGGGAGAGGAAAACACATAGAGAAGGTCGGGTGAAACATCAATGGGAGGCAATTGCAGTGCAGCAGCGCTTTCCATCGAGTCCTCCCGAAGGGAACTACGAACCGATGACATACTTCGTCTCTGCAATGGGCCTTGCGATGACATACGGTATGAAAGAAGCAGATAGATTGGCAATGGAAGCCTTTCAGCATAAGATTTATGTGTCGTCTTGGGATGGTAAATAGCTTTGTATCCATCTTTTTTGGCCGTTCCCTCAGTTGAAGTCGTACAAACAGACTTGCCTGCGCTGTCGACGTACCATCATTGAGAAAATCGGCTCAGCCTGACCCCTCGCCACACATTAGCTATTATTACTGCCGGTATCTCAGTGTGTTGAGACACAGCTTAAGTGCTGACTCTCGTGGTGTAACCCGCTAAGGCGCCAAGGAGAACATTGTATGGCTGCTCTGGTGACTTTGTCTCCCAGGCTGGCATACAAGGCAGACTTTTGTTTCTGATCAGACCCGGTTCTGTACTGAGAAGCGAATGTCTCATGAAATACAGACTACTTTCGTTCTCCTCTTGCGGCTTAGTGTCCCGTTTTCATGTTTGTTTCATTATGCATGCACATGTAGAATTTCCCGGTTGAAAAGTGTACTTCTAGCGAATTTTGGCCATGACGCGATTGCAGAGAGAAGGAAATAAGGCTCTTTCTTGTCTCATGAAGTGGTTATCATTTTCGAGGGTTCAATCGTCAGCTTATGGTTTTCAGGCGACCTTGAATGACGAGGTCCGACTATTGGGCCTAAATCGACCAAGGTAACTCTAGTCAACTGAAATTCAACTCAATCAGTTGATGTTGTGTTGTTGGTGTCGGTGTTAGTAGATAGGCTCCCGCTTGGCTTGTGGACGAAATCGAGGGAGTCAGACGACATCATCTAGTCTCGGCAGACCACCACTTTCGGCCCGGCTCCGAAGAACGTCCCCCGCCCCCGGGCCACCGGTTGCCAGCAAAGAACAAAACAAAGTCTCTTCTCAAGGTCTTGTGGGAATCTAAGTTGTTGCCTTCTTCCCCATCTCCACCATCCCCCATGATTGAATGCGGGGTAAACCCATGCCTAGAGCTTTCTCCAAGACTCCACCAGTTCAAGCGGCCCAATGCCGTCACCTGGAGCACCTCGGGGAAGATATTTCCATGGGGGGAATCCTGGCCTTGACCGGCCCCAAACCTTGGTTGAAATAGCTTCGGTAAAAAGCCCACCGCCCCTTCGCCCAGCACCAACCCAAACGTAGCGTGGAAGCCGATGTTGGTCCACGATCGAATCGGGGCCGAATGACGATGCTCATTAAACACGAGGAAAATAACGGTGCGGGGGATGCGGAGCCGAACAAAGCCATTGCCCAATGGTTCCAACTTCCGGGCCATCCATAGATGGCCCCAGCCAGCATCTCCGATGGATGTTACGTCCTTTTAAGAGAGAGGCCGTCCTCCTCTTCTTCGCCAGTGTGACCTTCTTCTCCCTCATTGCAGCTTTGTCTCTCACGTAGGTCTTTACGCGAGTCTCTATTTCCGCAATGAAGGGTCTTGCCATCGCCTTTGCGGCGCTTGTGTCGTCGACATGCGCGCAGTACATGAAGACTCCCGCCTCGACTCGTTATGGCTCTCACAAGGCCGTCCCGAGACAGGCCGGCAACCAGACTAGCAACTCATGGCCCTACGCTCCCTTCAGCACTCGCGGACGTGATATCGTCAATGCCCGCGGTGAGGTTGTGACTTGGGCTGGTGTCAACTGGCCGATGAGTGGTACGTTCAACGTCTAGGGCAGGCATACAAGAGCACCTAACTAACAAACAATGAAGGAGAGACCATGGTTCCTGAGGGTCTGGAATGGGCCTCGGTTGATCAAATCCTCGACGATGTCGAGAGTGTTGGCTTCAACTACATCCGCATGTAAGTGCACTTGATTCTTGCACGCGTGTAATACATCGCAAACCTTGGACACACGCCAGCTTACACTCTTCTTAGGGGCTACGCCATCGAGATGGTCGACCAAATCTACGACCGCGCCGGCGAGGACGTCCCCCTCGAAGTTGCCATGATCACGGCCCTCGGCTTCGTCAACGGCACAAAGGTCACCAACGAAATCATCCGCAACAACCCGACCTGGACCCGCGAGACGACCCGCTTCGAAATCTGGTCCGCCATCGTCGAGGCCGCCTACGAGCGCGGCATCTTCATCTCCCCCGACGTGCACGTCGGCAAGGCCCAGTGGTGCTGCTCCCACACGGACGGCAACGCCTGGTTCGACGACGTCAACTTCAACACCACCCACTGGCGCCGCGGTCTCTCCTACGTCGCCAACTGGGCAAAGTCCCACCCCAACATCGTCTCCCTCTCCCTCCGCAACGAGGTCCGCGAGTCGTGGAACGTGACGAACCTGTACTACAACTGGGACACCCTCGTCGGCAACTTCTCCGCCGGCGCCGACGCCATCCACGAGGCCAACCCGGACGTCCTCATCCTCTGGGGCGGCATGCAGTACGGTCAGGACCTGTCCGCTCTCACCTCGGGCAAGAACTACCTCACAGCGCCGTGCTACAAGTGCACCGCTATCCGCGACGCCGCACGCCGCGAGCCAAAGGTGTTTGATCTCGACAGCCACGCCTGGGCGGACAAGCTCGTCTGGGAGCTGCACTTGTACAAGATGAGCGAGGATGTCGACACGGGATCGTGCCCCATCATCGAGGCGGGTCTCTACCGCAACGGCTTCAACGCGTTGGGTATTGACAAGCCTGCGGCTTGCAACGTTACGAACGACTGCCCCAAGGCGAGCCGGTTGACGCCTGTCATCTTCTCGGAATTTGGCAACGGCCAGGACGATACGCTTCGCAACGATACCCTTCAGGTGTGTCTGAGGGAGTACACCGTCAAGCACAACGTCAGCTGGATGGTCTGGGGTCTTGCCGGTAGCTACCGTGTGCGCTCCGGCGCGCAAGGTGTGCCCGATACTTGGGGTTTGACCAACTATGAGTGGAACGGTTGGAACTCTCCCGAGACCATTGAGGATATCTGGAAGCCTTGGGTGAAGGCTATGAACCCGACTAGAAAGTCGTGAGGCACGACTTTAGAGTCCAAGTAGACTTTAATCTGAATTATAATGTGATCTCATTGCCATTCCACAACACCCATTGAATGGTTTACTTTGAGTGACATAATCCAGTCTCACTTCTAGCCCAGAAGCCACAATGTTTCGACAAACACAGCCTCTCAGTGTACCAGCCTAGACTCTGCAAAGCTGCCCGTCACTCCTCTGCTTCCATCCCTCGTTCCCGACACAGGGCTGGCACCAGAAAACGTCGTCTGGATCGACGGTCTTCTTGATCTTGAGAAGGCGCTCATAGTTGGTGCCCCAAAACGTATGTTGCCAGTCTTCCTCATATGACAGACCCTGTGACACATTAATGAGAATCCCAAACGTACTCGTTTCGAACGTTATGCTTGGCTTACCTCATTCAAGTAGGATCCTCCACCAGGCGTTAACTGTCGGAAGCCTTCAACCGAATCGTAAATGCTCTTCTCGGCTTCACTCTTGGACGTCTCATTGAACGAAGTCCATCCAACGGCAGTGACTGTGAGAAATAGGAGTCAGCTCAGGGAACTACTCTTAGACGAATGAATATGACTTACTCGCGTGGATGTAGGCAGTCCTCCATGCCGGGTGAACCGCATCACCTCCGCCCCTAGGCTTCGCGTTGTGCACACCCTTCCCGGATACCAAAAACGCATACATGCCGCCCACATTATCAGTCGCCGTCTTCACTGCACCAGCCAAAACCTCCAAATCCTCCGCCAAAGCCTCCTCATCCAGCAAACGGGAAGCCAGTAGTTTGTTGATACCGCCCTTGTTCATGTCATAATTCTTATCATAAAAGTCAAGCCAGGACGGATACTCGGTGGTAATCTTGGCAAAGGTGACATTGGGCCAGCGCTCCATGACGGTCTGGTTGATTGACGTCCAGATCCTGTCAACTTCTTCCCGGTCCGTGTCATCCTGCATCAGGGATATGCCAATGACGCCCGCCGCGTTCGGCGGGAGGCCCGGGGAGCTGACAGGGTTCGGCATGTGCGAATTGATCAGGGCGTAGCCTGCGAGGCCCGCCTTCTCGAGGGAAGGGACGTTTGAGAGGAAGTAGGCGGCCAGGTCTGGAATGATGGGTGACCTGAGCTCGGTGAGCATCGCCCATGCCGTGTGGGTGATCGGGGGGGACGGGTGTGTTGCGAAGGTGATTGAGGTGAGAACCCCAAACGTTGATCCTCCTCCCTATGTAAGTCAGTACTCAAGGTAAGGTCTCAAAAATGAGGGATATTTACACCGCGCATAGCCCAAAACAGGTCAGCGTTCTGAGCCTCGTTGAGAGTCAAGATCTCGCCGAGGGGCGTGACGACTTCCACCTGCAAGACATTATCCGCCGCCAGACCGAAACGCGGCGCGAGCAGCGAGTGGCCGCCTCCGGTAGCATACCCCCCGACGCTCACCGTCTTAGCGGTACCGCCGACAATGGCTTGACCGTGTTCGGCAGTGGCTTTGTAGAGGTCATACATCTCGGTGCCGCCTCCGGCAGTTACTGCACTTCCTGGTATAGTGATATCGCTCCCTGCGAGCTTGAACTCATCCGCATGATACTCGATGCCCGTCAATTGGTGCACCCAGATAGAGAGCGAGCCAGGGGCAATCGATCTACCTAGGTAATCATGCCCAGTGCTTTTCACAATGAGCCTCACATTGTTCTTCCTCGCTATGACCCCAGTCAACAATCACAGACCAAGCGCACACACGGGACGGAAGTAGATGTCAAAACGCAACATACCAAAATCGATACCAATCTTGACATGCTCCGGCGTGGTAGCATTCACGACGTACGCAGGGTATCCGTCACCGCTGCACAGATAAGCCGGGTCAGGAAGGCAGGAGTCATTAGCGAAGTTGCTCCAGACGACGGAGACGGGGTCGCCAACGTGGAGCTCGTACGAATTCCACCGGGCCTCGACGTCGGCGCAGGCGGTCTCGTTGTAGGCGTCCTGTCCGGGATGGCAGACAGCTCCCGGAGGAGACGGGCGGAGAAGTCGCCCGCCTCCGAGGGACTCGCCGAGCCGGGCCCATTCTGCTGTGGAAGGCCAGTCAGCGGTGCCCGGGTAGGATTTGCACGTTGGTGTGTAGGAAGAGTCTTGGGCTAGGATGAGGGATTCGTGGGACGCGATTCCAAAGAAGAGATATCTTGCGATGTGCGGCAACATGGTTTTTCAAGTGACGAGACTGAGACTCTTAGGATTTGAAGCTCCGGGGCTACGGTCTTACCTGAACAGAATCATGATTTGGAGGCCGAGGCATCGTGAGTTTATAAAGTGTCGCGATCGTCGAAGGAAGCCTGGAGTGGACGATGTTTGTGCAGCAAACAAGTCTGCCGAAGCGGCACGGAATGGACTGGGGTTGAGACAACGAGGTTGCAACGGGGCGTCGTGAGGCGTCGTCTCTAAAGGGCAGTTGCCCGAGATGAACTCTCGTTGGTTGCGAGATGTCAGACAATGATGTTGCCAATCGAGAAATCCTTTTCGCGAGGATCAAGCATCCCACTACATCTCGGTTATCTTTCAGCTCCTGCAAGACGGCAAGCAAAATCCTAACCACGTTGTATCGGGGCGCTAGTGAGACCGTCATGAAGGGTAAGATTCATCTAGCCGCTACAGCTCGTCAACGGTTTACCGTGTGTTGCATGTCAGACTCGGCCGTGGCTTGGCCGGGCGTTGGCCAACCCGAAACATGCGAGCGGTGAGCCATCATCGTGTGTTCTGTAGTCATGTTTCATTCCAGACAAGAGCCTCACAAGGTATCCTCATCAGTCATCAGCCTATCTTTTCTCACAACCTATACAATAGAGATACTACATCACGTCAGCGACCGAAGAGTAGGTACTGCTTGGTGGACTATGCCACACACCGCAATACACAACCAGGACTGGATTTTGCCTTGTTACATAAAGGACTACGTGACGTACTTAAAGGATTGGAGACTCTGGAAGGATAAACGCCCTTGGCAAGCTTGATTGGGCCTATCGTGGTTCCAACATCGACAAACTGCATGCAAACACACTATGGGCGACTTGAATCATATCGGCAGTTGGAACTCTCCAGGATCTCAACCACCTCTTTGGTACAATGGTTAAGGTGCGTTAGAACACTATGGATATTGTGCAACTCGAGTTTCGCACACCCAAAGCTCGCCTAAAGACTCTTCATCGACCGCGTACCACTAGATACCTAGTACATGATAATACCAATGCCGCATTTTACGATCATAATCGTAAGAAAACGTGTGTAAAAGTGCCACACGATGGACGCTTTTCTGCGGCTACCTTTGAGAGATACATCTTTTACGCCTCAAGGTATCACCTATAGCTACCACAAAGCTTACAATTCTTCTTGCATGATACTGTCCCGCAGCATTGAACAACGACCACTTGAGTAACTTACATTACGATGCATCTTGGGACGTCTGAACAACAGGCCTCTCGAACGGAGCCTCGGTGCAACCTACTCAGATTTTGCCGTCACCTGCTCGTCACCACAAGGCAACTCGCCTTCAACTCGGTGGCCTACGCCAATTTCCTCGCCATCTGACACGAGCTCGGTCAGGATTTGCTGGAGGTGTTCTGCTGCTGGATCTCCCTTCAGTACAAAAACAACCCCTTTCTCGACTTCATATCCTGACGGATGTCTTTAGTTGTAGCAGACGACGGCCCTTCGCAATCGTGACCACCAGGAACCCAAGAGGCGTCGGGGGCGGGAGACGAAGGTAATGGTGAAGCCGGGGTAGGTGGCGGTGGTGAAGGCGGCGGAGACGGCTCCGGCGTCTCGACATACCTCATACTTTCCAAAAGATCCCAACTCGCGTCCGTCGAGTCGCTCAACCTAGCTCGCTGGATCCGTACTCCCAGTGAACTGGCCAAAGATTCGCGGTCCAGATGATCGTAGAAGTACCCCTCCAGCGCCGAGCTGTCAGCCTCACTCGTAACACGATCCCAGTTTGTGGCAGCGACGACGACGTGCCGGAATCCACGGGACTTGAAGGCGTTCAAAAAAGCGTCCAGGTTACGAGCTGCGTAGTCAGCGTAGCTTAGATCCATGATGCGCTGGAGGTAGATGACGCCGTCTATCTGTGTGTCCATGGACTTGAGCCGGGTCTTGATGTAGTTGAGTGTCTCCATGTCTGGGAGACGCCGCTTGTCGGGAGAGAGGTAGGGTGTGTCAATGAGATGCATTTGAAGGTCCTGATCATCGAGGTTGGCTGTGTGTATGCTGATGTCGTCATCTTGGGCGGCTACGTAGTCGCCCGCGTTTTCGAATAGGGATCGGATAAATGTTGTCTTACCACAGCCTCTGGGGCCGATTACTGCTATTGTGAGTGTCTTCATCCTTGTGTTTGTGTCAGACTTCTGTATATAAGTGCCTACTGAGAGCGATTGTCGGAGCGTTGCCAGAAGCGGCTTCATGGTGGTTATAAAACGATGAAGCATTTGTGGCTATATCTCATCTGTCAGAAATCAATTGAACCAAGTTCGAAGTTCCGTGTTATTTTCCTCACAAGAGGTCTGCGTGGTGAACGACCTCTAGACCAGACCGGGTTCTTTTAAGGTATTGGCAATGAGTAGGAGGTCCCAGGCAGGTAGCTCTAGGTAGACCTGAGGAAGCCACAAGATTCTCTTGGACTCAAGACAGAGTGTGTTGTAGATTACCGTATTCCAAGACTTTGCTAGCTAACAAGGAACAATAAAGGGTTGTCAAAGACTAACTGCGTTGTTGAAACAGCTCCTCTCGAAGACATAGCTGTATATCCAGAAGCATTGTTTATGCCGCCTTCGAAGTTCACAATCGTCCGTTTTGTTTGGTCAAAAGGAAGCGACCAACCTCTTTCGCATCTACAAGCTTAGGTTCAGGAACCGAAAAACCTGACCTTAACTTCGAGGTCGATTTGCACTCGACCGGAGGAGACTCACAAAGCCGACAACTTCACGCGGCGGGAGGGCCCGCGGACTAGTTATGCCGCATTCCGGCTCCCGATTCTGAGACGGACATCTGAGATGTTTTCAATTGTCTGGCCGGTTGGCCCAATGGCAAGGCGTCTGACTACGACATACCGTGGAATCAGGAGATTGTGGGTTCGACCCCCATGCTGGTCAAATTCTTTTGCCAATTAGAGCAATAGCATATTTTTGACGTCTTCTCTCAACGGGGAATCGCTCTGGGGGTTTCTTTTCTCCAATCGCACTCATTTGTGGACAGGCCTGGCTAATGTTGACCCTGTGACTGTGACGAAAGTGGCGCTTTGTGGCCGACAACTCAGCACCACTAAACTCTGATAATGGCGTCGTATAGTCGTTGCGGCCGCGGAAGAAACTTGTTCTAGACTTTTGAACGCCTCCCCTACGCATCAGATGCAGCCAACAAAGGCTAGAGTGAGTTGGCAAGTGCTCTCCAAGTTCTCTAAACTAAAGAGTAAGCCGGCGCATCACCGGTTGCTTTCCAAAGATGTGGAAAGTTTGGCAACTACATTATTTGCCGGATGAGCTTAAACGTAGGGAGTTTAGCTGCCGTTGCTAGCCCTGCACGGCAGACTTTCTGCTAAACTGGGCTCAACTCTATCAAGCCGCCCCCAGTTCGAACTTTCTTCTTTCTTAACGTTCTTCTAAGACATATTGGAGGCCAACCAAGCTAGCTCCAAGTCTTCTGGATAAGTCGGCAAGTCGACCTTCCAAAGAGGGTGTACGCCGAGGCCGCAACTATCGCACCAGACAAGGGGTGGAGAGGTTGGTTATTCGGTTTGGTTGAGGAGCTTATGAGATGGGATGCTGTGCCGCAGTGACGTACTACCTTGGCGCCTTGGTGTTAGAGCGCCGCCGGGAGCCTTGAGAAAAGATACAGAATGGCAGTGCCTGGAGCAATAAGTAGGTGTTCCGTGGGGGATGGCTGTATGTGTGATACGGGCAGTCCCGTCGAGTGGGACTCGGGCGCAGAATGAGAAGAATGTTGCGCGAAGGGTCTGTGTCTCAGTAGATGATAATAGGTTACTCAAGGCTGGAGACTCAGCCCTGCCGATCGTCAGCAGTAGCGATTGTAGATCAGCTGGGGATTCCTCCCAAACAGTAGCCTCGAGTCTATCCGTAGAGAAGAAGCAACTCTAGGTTGAGAAGAGTGATGACACCAGGGTAGGAATTGACATTGAGCAACGTGGAACTTGAAGTACAATGTACGAAGTATTCTGAGCTTCCGCCCACCTGCCCCATCCCCGCCCCGCCGTCGTCTTTTCCTACGAATCCGAGCCAATTGCAGCGGGAGCGAGTCCGCCCACTTTGATCCTTCGCCCACGGACTGGGCAACTGCAGACTGACTGACTGCAGCAGTGATGGCTTCTGTGCAGTTGTGCAGGCAGTATATACTATGTAGGTAAGTACGGATACGCAGTTTTAAGAGAGAGTTGGGTTAATTTGGGTGTAGATCAGCAAGGTGCAGGGTGCTGACGCTGCTGACGGGACGGGGAAAGCGCCCAGCGGGAACTTGCAGGGGTTGCAGGGGTCGCATGCCACGTCGCGTGCCGACTTTCCCAGAAGTCGACAAGCAAATTGCACCAAATTGGCAGCGGATTACACCGAATCTGCACCCAAAATACTCGACTTGGCGACGCAAACAGCCCATCTTGGCCCCTAAGCCTTGAAGGACCTAAGGACCTGAGGTGAGTCTGCCTGCCTAACTCCGGTCCTAGCAAGCCTGGTCGGTCACCAGTGTTCGGATTTCTCTTCCATATTCTCTTGGCGAAATCTGCACGGCATCCTCCATTCATCCTTCCACCCTCCTCCCCTCGTTTCCGCCCAGACGTCTTGGTATTTTCTTTCCCTCGTGTCCTTGTCAGCCTGTTCCTTTCCGGTTGGGGTTTCTTCATTGTTTGTTTCTTCCTATTCTCTTTTTTCCTACCTTTTCCCTTACGGATTCCCAGGATACAAGACTTTGGAGGCAATACATCTCCGACGACCCTAATTCTCCTTGAAGATCCACGCATGCGCAGCCACCCCTGTCGGACGACGACGACGACGACGACTGCGCCGGGCCCCTTTCCATCAATGCGATAAGAACGACTCGAAAAAAAAGAGAGAGCGACATCCCATTTCCGTACACGCGGCCTCCCTTACCCCCCAGAATCCCATACTTTTCGACCTTGGGAAAAACCTTCGACGCTGTCAAACCATCCGCATACGTCAAAAATAACGATTCCGTCCCGTCCCGTCTCCAATTCGTCCATTCCACCGGCGCCACATCCCGCACGCGTAAACCCAATCTCGAAACGAAAGCTTGCGGCGGTTTAAGCTTGGGTCGATAACCCCGGCACGGGTACAGAAAGGCGCCAACCGCCACCATTACGGATACAAAACCCACGAGGTCTTCATCTTCAAAGGTCCAGGGTAACCCGCTTCGACGCCCTATTTCCGAAAGACGACAAGAATCCCATATAAGTGGTGGTTCAGACCTCATCGTGGGTTCAGCAAATCAAACGCAGGCTGGTTCGTCTCGTCTCAACACATTGCGCAGCGGGAAACCTTGACGGCAAAAAAGGGAACAAGACCTACGCACACACCAGAATCCGCAGAGAAAGAAGGTCACCACCATGTCGTTCCCAGCCCCAACCCGCCCGCGGCGTGGTGTGGTCTGCGTCGCCGCCTTCTTCATCCTCACCACAATCTTCCTCGCGGCAGCCCGCCTCGCCTCCCTAGACCTCACATCAGCCATCCGTCGCCGGCCCGCCGCGAAAACAGCATCCGAGCCCTCACCAGCCGATGCGCCCATGTCCTACGGCGAGACCGCTCGCCCAGGCTTCACCGACCTCTCCGTCCACATCGCCACACTCCCGGAGCGTCATCTTCCCTCCCGCGAGAACCCGAGCCGCAGGCTCATCGTCGTCGGCGATGTCCACGGCATGCGCGTCTCACTCGACAGACTGCTCGAGGAGCTGCACTTTGACAAGTCCCGCGGCGACCACCTCGTCTTTGCTGGCGACATGATCAACAAGGGCCCCGACTCCCGCGGTGTTCTCGATCTGGCCATGCGCCTCGGCGCCTCCGCCGTACGCGGAAACCACGAGGACCGCGTGCTGTTGGCGCATCAGAACATGAAGACGACCTATGTTACCGACTCGGACGCTCACGGTAATCCCGTCAACAAGCGAGAGGAGGAGGCAAGACAAGCCAAGGCCGAGGAGAACAAGGAGGAGGACAAGAAGCCTGAAGAACCTCCCACTGACAACGTCTCACCCGAGGCCGAAGGCCAAGGAGAAGACGGCGAGGACCAAGACGAAGACGAAGCCTCCCTAGAAGAGACCGAACAAGACGACCTCGAACCCTCAATCTTCCCCCACGGCGACTCCAAAGAACGCGCCACCGCCCGCTCCCTCACCCGCAAACAACTAAAGTGGCTCTCCACCCTCCCCGTAATCCTCGACGTCGGCGCCGTGGAATCCATCGGCGGCAACCTCGTCGTCGTCCACGCAGGCCTCGTCCCAGGCCTCTCCCTCAAACACCAAGACCCCTGGGCCGTCATGAACATGCGCGGCCTCGTCTACCCGCGCGAGGAGCTCCGCCGGCAAGAAGCCCACCGCGCCCTCGAAGACTACCGCAGGACCCACACCGCCGCCCCCGGCGTCACCGAGACCATGATCCAGCGCGAGCACGAGCGCCGCCGCAAGCCCCACGACCGCAAGATCGCCATCCCCACCGACCGCCGCGACGGCTCCAGCAGCTGGCCGAAAGCGTGGAACGCGCACCAAAAGGCGCTGCCTGAGAAGGAGCCCCGCACCGCCGTCGCCTACGGCCACGACTCGAAGCGCGGTCTGCAGATTGACAAGTTCACGTTCGGTCTCGACTCGGGCTGCGTCAACGGCGGGGAGCTGACCGCTCTCGTCATCGAGGCGTCTGCCGACGGCGGCGTCACGCATGCCATCAAGAGCACAAAGTGCAACAAGGACGAAGGGAGAAAGGACAAGAAGAGGAACAAGAAGCACAAGAAGAGCAAGAAGGGGAAGAAGAGCAGCGAGGAGGTGGACGAGGCCAAGTCATAGAGACGCGTTCCCCCTGAACAAGGAAGACGTATCGTCTCTTAATGAGAAGAGGAAAAGGGGAAAAAAGAAGTGCATCAAGCAAACTGCATGTCCAAGACGGACAACCCAGAAACGAAGGTGAGGAGAAACAATTGCATCTGCATGCGTATGGGCTGGCTGCCCAACACTTCCCCATCTCAAGAGAGGGGAACGACGGAAATGGATATACCTAGAAGTCATCGCCAACGTTTCTGACACACCACCAAGAGACGTTTCATTGTACAAAATAAGTTGCACCCACAAGGCATAGGGACATGATCAGCAGCAACTACCGTAATGAAGGACAACATCATCATCATCATCATCCCACTAGGCGTTTTAGTCATTAGAGCAATACAAATTCACATTTTG